CCCTGGGCTTTTCCCCAGAAGTTTAGGACTGTAGAAGGAAAGAGAGAAATGGCCTCAAATGGGGAAATCAAGACCATGAGAGGGGCTGAACCTGGGCAGGAGCCCCTTCCAACTGCCTTTCTCCCTTCATATATATATATATTTATTTATTTAGAGATAGAGTCTTACTTTGTTGCCCTTGGTAGAGTGCTATGGTGTCACAGCTCACAGCAGCCTCCAGCTCTTGGGCTTAGGCAATTCTCTTGCCTCAGCCTCCCAAGTAGCTGAGACTACAGGTGGCCACCACAACACAACACAAAGTTTGGCCGGGGCCCAGTTCCAACCTGCCACCCTCGGTATAAGGGGCCGGCGCCCTACTCACTGAGCCACAGGCGCCGCCCACCTTTCTCCCTTCTTAGTGCAGGAACTTCCTCAGTTTTCTGAGCCCCAGCCTCCCTACTGACTGAGAGGAGGTGGTTAAAGGCCCCTGGGTGTGTGCCCCATGGAGGGAGCCCCAGCCACAATGCCCAGTGCTAGGCCAATGAGAACCCCAGAGCGGAAGGACTGGTCATTTCCTCCCTGCAGATAGTATCTCCCCTTGGGGCTTTAAAAACCACAGCCTGTGGGCAGGAGGCACCTTCCATCATTCATCCATCACTGGGACACCAGAGACCAGAATATGGTGAGTCTCAAAGAGGAATGGGTAACAGAGCCCCTGCCCTGGTTCCTCCATCTCTGCTCCTGTGGGCCCTTTTCCTCTCCCCAACTCTCCCTTTCTTGCTCCTCTCTTCCTGTCCTTCCTCTCTGTTCTCCTGTATCCCCGATTCTCACCCTCCAGAGCTGGGAGGTGGTCATGGAATAAGAGTGTGCTCAATGCGTGTGACATGTCTATGCTTTTTTTCCCTTGCAAATAGCGTTTTGTGTTTTTTCGTGAATAACAATATTTTTACTACTATTTGAGATAAAGTCTCTGTCACCCCAGAGTGGGTGCTGTGGCATCATCATAGCTCACAGCAACCTCAAACTCTTGGGCTCAACTCTTGGGCTCCTTCTGCATCATCCTCCTGAGGAGCTGGGACTATAGGCACCCACCAAAATGCCCAGCAGTTTTTCTATTTTTATTTTAATTAATTAATTTTTTGAGGCAGAGTCTTGCTGTGTCGCCCTCGGTAGAGTGCTGTACAGCAACCTCAAGCTCCTGGCTCAAGCGATTCTCTTGCCTCAGCCTCCCAAGTAGCTGGGATTCCAGGCGCCCACGATGCCTGGCTATTTTTTGTTGCAGTTGTCATTGTTGTTTAGCAGGCCTGGGCCAGGTTTGAAGCCACCAGTCCCAATGTATGTGGCTGGCACCCTAGCCTCTGAGCTACAGGCACTGAGCCAGTTTTTCTATTTTTAGTAGAGACAGGGTCTTGCTCTTGCTCCTGCTGGTCTCAAACTCCAGGGTGGTAGCAATCCACCTGCCTTGGCCTCCCAGAGTGCTGGGATTAGGCATGAACTTCCATACTTGGCCTGAATAACAATATAGTTAACCAGCATTTATTGGCTGCTTACTGCATCTCAGGCATCGTGCAAAGCACCTCACAGGACAAATTTCATCGTATGCAACCTATGGAAAAGGTACTTCATCCTCATGTGTTTCAAGGGAATTGCCTCCTTCTTTTTATCAACTGTTAAATATTCCAGGAGGAGGTTTCATTCATTATGGATAGAAAGTTAGGTTGTTTCTAAAGTTAAGTTGTTTCTAATGTTATCCTTTTTAAAAAATTAAATCCTAGCTGTGTACATTAATGCATTCATGGGGTACAGTGTGCTGGTTCTATATACAATCTGAAGTATTTTCATCAAACTGGTTAACATAGCCTTCGTGTCATTTTCTTAGTTATTGTGTTAAGACATTTATATTCTACATTTAGAAAGATTCCCTTGTAAGATGAACTATAGGCGTGGTCCCACAGATCACCCTCTCTCCACCCATCCTCTCCTCTCCCCTCCTCTCCCTCTCCCCTTTTCCCATATTCTTGGGCTATAATTGGGTTATAGCTTTCCTATGAAAGCTATAAATTAGTTTCCTAGTAGGGCTGAGTACATTGGATACTTTTTCTTCCATTCTTGAGACCCTTTGCTAAGAAGAATATTTTCCAGCTCCATCCATGTAAACATGAAGGAGGTAAAGTCTTCAGCTTTCTTTAGAGCTGCATAATATTCCATGTACATCTCTAATGTTATCTTTAAAACTAAAACTGTCCCTCTCTTTATGTCTTTGGGCTAATGGTTGGGTTTCTGGAGTTGCAAATGCTGAGTCCAAGGCAAGGCCAATTTCTGTTTCAACAGATATGACCAACAGTTGTGCCAACTTATAGTTCCCACTGACAGTGCATGAGGGTACCTATTTGTCTGCAGCTTTGTCCGCATAATTTTACCAAACTTTTTTTTGTCTTTGCCAAGTGTGAGGTGGTTCATTTCATCCTCAAAAGGTCTGAAGTCTTGTGTTTTCCACTTAGTTTTTAAAATGTGAGTGTTTCTGTTTTTTAATGCTTAGGGAGTTTTTATTACTAAGATCATGTAAATTTAAGAAAATAAGTATGAATCCAAGTGCCTGTCCCCGACTTTGGACCCCATGTCTCGGGGGTCATAACCTATCGGTGGTTTTGTGTGCTTCTGTGTGACTGTGGGAATGGGGAGGGGAGAATCTGCAAGGAAAAAAGAAGACCCCGTGTTCTTCATAGTTACTGACTGACAGCATTCCTAAGTGGGTCTGTTATTCTGATTTTAATGCGGGACAATCGGCAGAACTTTCCTCCTAAGAAGGATGGGAAGGCTGAAGCCCAGACAGGAAGGGAAGAGGCGGAGTAAAGTTTATCAGTTGCTCTTTCTGTTTCAGCTGCCCAACTGGCCAAGCCGTGCCTCTATGTGATCTATCTCATCTTCCCACTTTTCTTCCTTTTCTCGGCCATCATCACCATCTCAGCTCCATTTTCAGTAGCCCAAATCACTGCCCCAGCCTCCTTTGTGGTCCTTCTGTCTCTGGTCTCACAGTAACTAGAGGGGCCTTTCTAAACTGAAATT